TGAATCAATTACATATTTGACTTGTGTGCATTGTATACAATTATAAAACGCAAATATAGAGCATTGCGAACATAATGAAAAAGATATTTGTGAATAATTCATATATTATAGACGTATGATTATAATTAGGGCTTATAGCTTAAAGCTCTAAAAAAATTTGTTATAAGCGCTATAATATGATCTAAAAAATATTTATGTGAGCGCTTAAATATGCACTAAAAATACTATAATATGCGAAAAAAATTAATATTATGTATAAAACAAATATTTTCCTTGTTAAAAAAAACTAGTCATAATCGCTCGCTTGTCGATCGCGTCGCTAGATAAATATATAACTTATATCATATAAAGAAGAATTAATTAATTAACATGAATTAGTTATAAATATAAATAATTAATACTACTAAACCTAATTAGGTACTTATTATTATAAAAAAAAAATGTTTTAAAGGTTACGGAATTGAAAAAGACTTAAAAAAGCAAAATAGCACTTATATTTCGAAATATGCAAAAATATGCAACGTAAAATTTCGTATTTAGCTTCTTAGTTATCTGAAACAAATTTATAGCTCAAATAAGCATCTCTAGAACCTCAAAAAAAAAATATTCAAACACTAGAAGTTATGAGCCCTGATTATAATATACTTATTACTATAAAAGTATGAGAATGTATTCCGTGTGTTCCTCGACAACCTCGATTATTAATCAGATGACCAATCCGATGGATTTCGATGTTCTTCATCTGATTACCAATCAGATGTCTACTAGATTAATTGAATACTTCTATATAATATTGCTAATTATTATCAGTCAACTAAATTAGATGGTGCCCTAGACGATGGACATATTTGATCAAAATCACGGTGTAGAGGAGGTGTTTTCTTCTTTCCCCACAGATTATATGAATTCATATAGTCTATGTTTATACCGGGATTATAATTATTATGATGTGTTATTTCCATTTAGCCGTAGCCGCAAAATTATTTTGATACAACATTCCATCCTTATATTATAAAAGAAACTTCTATTATTTATGATCCCACCATCGTTTAATCTCTTTTCTATGATTCCATCCCGCGTTTTGTTTTAAAGCGTTGTTCCATAACTTTAATCAGATGCACAATCTGGTTGTTAATCTGATGATAATCGAAGTTGTCTAGAACAAATACACGAACTGTAACGAAATATAACGAAGGTCACTCAGTCACCGCGAAAGCGTAGTCATCGCTGTAGTGGTATTTACTATGAATCTCGTCTATCGGAAAATTTGAAATTAGTACCTATGCATTGAACAGACTCGAGAGTGTACATGTGACATTTTATTCACCGACCTGGATAAAGATAAATTATAAATATCTTAACGCATGTACGGTGAGCACAGTATTATTGTTACCAGTCACTGTGTTATTTAGATATTTTGTAATACGATCACGCGGACAACCGTGACTTGTGACCAAGTGATGAGATAAAAATAAAAAAAATGTGAAAATTTTGCAAAATGTGACAATGCACGTTGTACATACTTGTGTGTACAGAATGCATTATATAATGTCTAAATTACGTGTTTTGAATAACATTCTATACGGCTGCATTGAACCGTATTGAGATTATAATTATATTTAGCCATTACGAAGCGCTGTCGGTTTCGGTCGACGCGCGCGTTCTACAATTCGGTAAAATTGAAATTTTTGTAGGAGAATATAATAGCTATAGTAATATGAAGAAATCACAATTGAAAGGGTGGATAACGAGTGTTAATACATCAGCTGGTCGGGTGAAAATGTTTAGATTTCGTGTTCAAAATGTATGCTAATTATAGTAATGTATTTAAATGAAAACAATTACGATTGTCGAACTATTATACAAAGAGAATCATGCCAAACTTGCATACTCGTTTAAAATATGAAATAGAAATTGTCCATTTTACTTTAAAAATACAATACTTCAAAATCTGATATTGATTATTGAACCAACAAATTAATACTCCAAATGTTATAATTCGAGTCGTCTATCGTATTTTGTGAAGAAATATAAATGTATTAAATTTAACAACCTATTAAAGTACCAACTATGACACTTAAAGTTTTTAGCGTGTACAACCAAACGCATCGATCGTCAATAATGTAATTTATATTATTTTATTTTAATATTCCAAACATTTAATTAGATACATTAACGGGTAATATACATATAAGGCGTATCCAATTTTTGAAGCATAAAAATGCTTCGAGTGTGCTCGGTCGAACTATATCCGTCGGATCTAAAAATCGATCGACAATCAACAATATTTGGTTTTTGTCTAGAAGCGAGAAGAAAAAAATTTTATTGCCATACCGCGATGAAAAGAAAACGTGACCAGGTTACCATGGACAATACGCGTGTGTGGTATTATTGACCAATAGTATTATCATAATTTATTTTGACGTTTTAAACCCAACTTATAGTTCATCAACGCTGATTTGTTTATTAAAAATATAAATACCAAGTCGCTATTATAAGAGTTTCTACAATTTAGAACTTTACAGTACACAGCACATTATAAACAGAATGAAGGTATGGAAAATATTTTCATCATCTAATATAATATCATGCTGTCTATTCACAGACTATTGCCTATTAATATTTATAAGTTATGATGATTGTTCTAACTAATTCTTAAAATGTTAATTATCTCTAATACTATTATATATATTCGGTATTTCTTCAAATTCAAAAAAAGTAAAGTAACTTCATGGTTAGTCAGTGTTTAAAGTGGCAAAAAAGTTTTTAATTTTATAGTAAATTTTAATTTCTAGATATTTTTTAGTTTAAAAAAAATAGCAAATAAATGCATTGGCTTATCATTGTTTCGTAGATTTATTTTTTATATATTCAAAGGCTTTTTAATCGTTCGTACGAAGTTCATATTCGTCCATTTGTAAATCTTGCAATAATCTTCAATCTCTCCAAGTTTGTTGCTTCTATTGTTTTCCACTTCAAATGCGTTTCACGTATACACTGTTTTACTGATCTTTATCTGCGTTGTAGTTATGGATAATTTAAATTACTTCTTAGCAGGACCTGATTTAGGCATTTTGAGGTCTTAGTTAGAATAAAAAATGTGGACCTTTGTCAATAGTAGTGTATCTATAGATATGTATATGTACCTCTCCACACATGAGTTGTATAAAACAAATCAATAATTAAAACTTACTTGTACATTTTCATAAATAAAATTACGATTTTATACTTTTATTTATCCCTATAGATTTCTTGCATTTCTTTGAAAAATTATATTTAGTTTATATTATTTATTTTATATAATGAAAGTTGAATAAAAAAAAAAAAAATTATAAAAACCCGATGGCCCTTTGATAATGGAGGTCATAGGCAGTGATTTATCTTTCCTAATTGTAAATATGACCTAGGATCATTGAACCTGTTTTTTAGCGATTTTCTTAGCTTCTTATTTCGTTATTGTGCAGCTTATATTACAATGATCTTGGTCCTGTTCCGTAGTAGCGTACTATCTATGTTTCGATTTTTTTTAATAAAGAATATGTGTACTGAAATACATATTGTTAACCCAAGAGGGGCTTTTCTCCTTCGATCCCTACCATTCCCACCGTTTCTCTACATGATGTATGCATAAATTAAAAATCTTAAAATCATAAGTGTTTCGTGATTTAATAAAAATAATTTTAATTCTTGTATTTTAAGCATTCATAAAGGCCAAATTGAAAATATTCATAGAACAAAAAAATTGTTAAGGTATCTAAACACTTCATCCCCCCTGCCACGTAATATACCTCTGGATTGTTACGACGATCACTGCAGTATCATAGCAACCTTACGTTACTTTGAGATTCGAGCGCATACAATTTTGTTGTTTATTATCGGCTGTGCATGAAAATGTGCGTGTTCGAATGACGCACGAGTTTAATAAATCTTCTCGAACATTTTCTGAAGCATTAATACGTGCGTTTGCGTACAGTTTCCATAATTATTATAAATCGATATTGTTTGCTGTAAACGGAAAGTACAATAAATTTGTTGAGAATGTACGCGGAAAAGATACACGTTACCCAAAACCGTTATTGTGCCGAACCCTGAAAGTATTAAAAAACATGACGTTTTTGTTATTGACATATTGATGACGCGTTAGGTTTTCTCACAGCGTAAACGAGTTTCTACGTTTCGCCTAACGGTCGGGGAAGTACTCGCAGAGTTCCCCTCCTCCCATCGGGTGTTGTCCGTCCGCGAGACACGAGAGATGTGTACCGAACATCGTCGTGTTCATGCCAGGGGCGTATTTAGACTTACTTCTAAGGGGGGGGGGGGCGACTGAAATTTTTTCAGGCTCAAAATTTACAAGTAAAAATTGTTGGCAATACTTAAATCGGGTGAATCCTTAATGTTTGTGGTTTTTTTTTTTTTTTAATCTAATCCATTTTGAATCGATTTTGCGTAGTTCTTTTTTAACACCTGTCTGTGTTTTGAAAGTTACGCTTGTTTGATTTTACACCAAGTATGGACCCGACAAAAAACCCAATTCAGTATTCACAGCCACGCGTTTTTTTTTTTTTTTTTTTTTTTATTTCGTTATAAAACGATCTACATTAAAAAAAAAAAAAAAAAAATTGAAATGCGTATCTCGCATATGATGGATTCCTTAAATACGGATTCGGGGGGGGGATCGCGCCTTCCCCCCCTAAAATACGCCGACGGTTCGTGAAAAAAAACATTCTGGCATTCGGTCCGCGGATTGATCGACGATTTTCTCTAGATCCGATGACCTTGGACGTCGGACATTTGAACTGCGTTCCCCGTACGCCCGCGCGCACGGTCACAACGTTCCGTGCTCGCACGTGCACAAGCACCCGCGGAAATACGCGCGCGCCCGCTGTGGTGCACACACGGTGTGTCCGCGTCGCCGCGGAACCCCCTCCCCAAACGTCCGCCGCCACCCCACCCCGATCACAACGTTTCGCGACGCCGCTACGAACGGCGTGCCCGACGAGGCGACCGACCAGTAACAGTATTCGCTTTGCCACGGTACGTCGTAGGGCGTTGCTGACGTGTTTTTCCCAAGTCCGTCTGAGCGCTTGCGCACGATACAACATCGAACGTTACGCACGTTTCCATCCACGACACCGTACCGTTGCGTAGCCGCCGTCGACGATCCAATTGTTTTCCGTTTACCGTCGTTCGCTAGCAGCCACCCCCCTCACGCCGCCGCTGGAGTTTGTCGGGAAGCCCCTACACTAGTTCCGCGCGACGCGAACACCACGTATTTGCCGCACCAGGTCGAAGGGAACGCGATGACCATGCATTTCGTCAACGACGTGACCAAGTTCATCTGCAGCAGTCTCAAGACCGAGACCAGCAGGCTAAGGGTACGTTCGTTTCAAGCGCGCGCGCTCGTCGTATTTGCGTATCGCCTACCCGCGCCCACGTCGTGTGTGCCGCTAACGACCCCCGGCGCGGTTCACACGGTCCTACCGCGCGCAATGGCGTGTTTTCGAAACGTGCGCGTCTGCGAGTGGGGCGGGGGCTTACATTTTTCAATTATATTTTTATATCAGTACTTGGGTTGCAGACGATGAGTTATTTACAGCCATGTTATTTTTCTTTGCGCCTTCGTATCAAATCATTCGCGACTTACTTTCGAACCTTTTCCTCTTCTTGGGAGTGGAGTGGGGGGATTCGAGACCTGGGAACCTTGAAACGTTTCACAAGGGAAGGATCTGTTTTACGAAAGAGGGTTGCTGTTAGATATAATAGTGTGTTGTACACCCTTAACCACGAAATGTTCACCACGCCGCCGTTGTAAATGCGTATCAGTGTCTACATTCGTAAGTGCGCTTAATGTAGTATTCACGCCAAGTGCGTAATACTGTTGTAATTGGAACCACAGAATCAGTTACTTTCGTGGACGAATGTCGTAGAATCGGTTTAAACTAAATACGGAAAACGTACATGGTGTATCTGTAGTACGAAAAATTGAACGTCTTTCGCCCGTTCATTTTTTTTATAAAACCACACCGTCCAAAACCAAATATAATAAATATAATGAAATAGAAACGACAGTTCGTCGGACTGCTCTTTTTGCGCAACGAAGCGAACGCGGTCGTTTTACCGTTCGTCGCGCATTTGGTTTTTTTAACAGGTGAACGTTATAACACGCATTTCCTGAGCAAGGTTGAGTGTAGGCCTAGTAGGCGACGGGAATCATTCCGAAGTGAATTTTAGATTGTTGTTAAACGAGTCGCAATTCTTCGATCCTCGCGTCTGCAATCCTTGGAAAAAAACAACAACAACTGCTACGATACATTCACACTCGCCTGCGTGTTATCTACATCCAAAACCGTTCGCAATCTGTTGGAGTGCGAGTTGGTTATTATGTACGTCTCAAGATCACCCGACCGATTGTTTAGTTACGTCGCGCGAAACGGTGTTTTATTGAAATATTGTATTGTTTACTCTTTGTGTGTAGGTACTTTGTTTATTCTCGCGCGTACATCCTTGGGATCGGTTTGTGCGCGATTAGTTATTACACGTCGACAACGTGTAAGTGTATCGTAACGTACACGAAATTCGATTGGTTTTAAAAGCAGTCGGTCCTTGACGTGCAACAAAAGTAAAAAAAAAAACATAAAATCTTATTTTCTATCCACCGAAAGCGTGTTCGGTGTTTAAAACGTTAACATCGAATGGAAACGCACGTATACAATGCGGATTATTATTAATCGTATCAAACGCGTTTCGATTCTCAATACAAGTTCATTCTGTACGTTTGTTGTTATTACGGTACATAATGGATTCGTAAATGTATTGTGATGCTTCGTAACTTGTTTACACACGTTGATAATATTATTTGTGTTTTAAATATTGTATGTGTTTGAACATCGTCCGAGCACATTTACGCATTTTTTTTTTTTTTTATCGCGTTGACAATTATTTTAACGCGTTCCACGTTGCACGTGGTATGCAGATTTATGCTCTCGTATTTTGTTTTACCCATTGCTTAATCGAAAGCAAATACAAATATACATATTATTAGTTTTTAATATACATTTTGGAAATGTTGCACGTTTAAGTCGGTTTCGTCGTTCAAGGTTGGAATAAAAGGAGGAAGTGTAAAATCATAACTATCAAGTTCGTACTGTTTATTGTTTTATACGAAATATACGGTAATTGCCTTCATTAGTTGAGCATTAAATGTACAAATCAAACTTTTAACAGACATTTATTGATCGTGTTATCGTATTATAATTATCGCGAACACAATTCATTTTGGCAATGCGGTTCATTCTGATCGTTGTTTCTATAACTATTATACCATACATTCCAAAGGAAACGGGTTTTATTTTTTCACGGCGACCGTTGATCGTCAGCGGTCGGTCGAGGCTCATCGGTTGACAAAACAATTATGAAATTTTTTGCTTGAGCGTTACTTTACTATTCAAAAACATTTTAACACTTGGCTATAGTTTTTCGTTACGAACAATTATAAAGAAGATCGAGTTCGATGTTGGATAGGTTAGGTTATCACTGCGTTATGGTTCATCTATTACATTATTATAGTTTTCGATATCGACCACAACACAGAATGACGTAACTAGATTAAACGTGATACGAGAAGTCAATTAGGTCATTATTCTTTGACCATTAATTTGATATAATTGTATTATTTATTGAACCGTATACTTACGAGGTTTTACTAATTTTGAGTGATTTGTCTATGTACGGCGATGAATAATAATTGCCAAGTAAGAATTATCGTCTAAGCATAATATCGATAATCAAGGGCGTACATTCAGTTTTCTTATAGGAGTGATTAAATTATATACACAGTTTATCGTGTTTTTTTGTACCTTTTCGGACGAAAAATTAATTTTTTTGTAATTCCATCATAGTTGACAAATACTAAATTTTATGTACGTGTTAAAATATTCATGATATTCATTCTAACTATTTTAAAACTGGATTTTTTTAATCCTTGAGGGTGTTTATCACGGACCCCTCCTCCTATTTGTACGCCGATTTCGGTGATTTATGTATTGCAATATTTTTATTTTCATTAACACCATCACTATTTTTATTAAATGCGAGTAGTCGTGGGCATGGTTTAAAATAAAACGTTATTCGCTTGTAACAGTTTATATTGCTTCAAAAGTACCTACTCAATATTTTCTTTGACACGTGAACAATTATCTTTGTAAACAAGTGTTAAGTAATAATTATCGTTTCAACTTTTATTATATTATCATAGAATCTTAGAAATTACTAACAATTTGGTCATTAGAAATTCAACAGAATTAATAATGATTTCAATGAATGAATAAGAATTTCGAGTTATCAGATCTGTTGAACGTGTCGAATAATTCAAGGGCATTTTTTTTTTGTTTCGACTTCTTGACTTATTCAATAGGTATTATTTGTATTTAGTATTACAAAATTTACAATCGTATATTTTAAATACATGTAATTATATTTCAAATATTTCTCCTAACGTGTTGAGGTAGTACGTAATTTCTTTTTGTGTTTTTTCGTGTTGGTCGAAAATTTATAACTAATCAAAAGTTATCATAAAAGGGAAGGTTTCACTATAAGTAAACACAGTTATTGTTTAATCGTTTTGGGATATTGACAGATTTTTGAATAATATATATTTTATTATTACAAAAATGTTATATATTGTTGTTCTTTGGAAATAACTATATAATATATATTATCTAGAATTTAATATTTTATTTAAACATGCAAACTTTAATGGTATTTTATCACTATTCAAAACTACTCGTGTAATATTTATGGAATGTATGATACATGCATTTAAGAGGAAGTCACCACCGCAAGTGTTGTCTTCGCGTTACAAACGTACAAAATATCAAATCCGCGTTCAATAAAACCGATTTTATGTTTTAATATTAGAGTAAACTGATTTATCATCAAGCATTGTGCCTTCTCGTATGTCTTTGCGATATTTTAATTTTTAAGCAAGTTATAATTATCTAAAATTACAATTTAGAAAAATTCATTCCTTGTCTACACATTTAAATATCGTTAAAAACTTAGGAGAAGACACAATGTCCTTGACAATTCGATACTGTTCGATAATTCGTTAGTCCATTTAAATATTAAAGTTGAAAACACCAAATCAGATCTAATGACCGCATATTTGTCATGTACGTTTGTGAGACGGAGACTACGTATACGGGTGTATTTATTTCAACACGTTCGAAAATAAATTATTTATACAGCATAGTATTTTTTAATTCCCCGATAATTTAAAAGTAAACGATGTTATTTAAATAACGATTTTATGCATTTTGTCGATAAAAACAAATCACTTAGCCTTCTAATGGATTTTTTTTTTTTTTTTTTTTTTACGTTATTCTGACCCTTATCGGTTCCATGACTTTACTCCGAAAGCACAACAATCTGCAGTGTAATAATAGCCGTAAGAATTATGTTTTGTTCCTATCGCATTCGAGCACAACGGCAACTTGCAATTTAATGTACACGTGCGTTGTTCACAATTATTAACACGTCATCATGTGTCAACGACTTGTTGTTAAATCAGTCTTATTGGTACGTTAAACGTGCATGCCTCGTTAACTGCGGTTGTACGGAATTTAAATATGTTTTGTGCCTAGTAAAACGCGGCTTCCGTAACAATGTACTAATTTATCGTTGAAACGCTGCAATCAGCCGTACCCACGACGCTGTGTGTACACTTGTGATTTCTGCACACCGCGCACTGTACGAAATACGAATAAAATATTCCGCGGTTCGTTTTCAGAACTATACGACGCAGAGCGCGTTCAAGTATCCGACAAAAGTTCGGATCGTCGAAGTAGGGCCACGGGACGGACTTCAGAACGAACCGAAAACCATACCGACGGACGTTAAAGTGGAGTTCATCAACAGACTGTCCGCGACAGGACTTCGAAACGTTGAAGTTACAAGGTGAACCATTTTAACGCGCAGTGCACGGTTTTGGACATTTTTTTTTTTTTTCTTCACGACGTCCGTTTGAATTTATTGCAGTTTCGTTTCGCCGAAATGGGTTCCGCAAATGGCCGATCATTCGGACGTGTACAGCAAGATAAACAAGGTTTCCGGTGTGTCTTATCCGGTGCTAGTGCCGAACATGAAAGGTCTCCTCACAGCGGTACGTATATTTTTTGTTATTAAATGCACGAAACAACGTGCGCGATTCGACGGCCGTCGATTCCGTGCAATATATGTACACGAGAGTCTTAACCCGTCGACCCGTCGTTACGCAGATGCAACACGACGTCAAAGAAATAGCCGTGTTCGGTTCCGCCTCCGAAGGGTTCAGTCAAAAGAACATTGGCTGCAGCGTGGCCGAGAGCTTGGAAAGGTTCGAAGACGTAGTGGCCACCGCGTTAGATCACGGCATCAAAGTACGCGGATACATTTCCTGTGTCTGCGGATGTCCGTACGACGGAGCCGTATCACCCAAAGATGTCGCCAAGGTGATTTTTTGTCGTATTATTGTGTTATCCATTACTCTAGCTGTCCAGCGTACGGTTAACAATGGTTAGGTTAAGATTAACGTTTTCACAATGTCCGATCAAAAAGCAAACGGGTTCTTCTTATGGTGCTTACAAACCAACAAGTCTATAATTTTATTTTTTATAAACAATTCAGTATTTATACGATAACTAAATGTTTCCGTAAGATGTACACTATGTGTAATTCGAAAATATTAGCACTATGAAAAGTAAAAATAATATCACGTTCTATTATACCGTATAATTTATTATAATCAATTATAATTGACGTATAATTTATACATAAAAACACAGTACGAGCCGAAAAAATATCAAGCCAGCAAAAATTACATGTGATAGACAACCGAACACTTCTAAAACCCTTATTTATGAATATGCGTTTAGGCGTACCTAATGAACGTTTGGTTGCCTATCGTACAGGTTTTGTTGACTTTACCATATTGCAGTGCAAAGGTGGGCAGGTTAATGAAAATAATTAACTATAGTATGTATAGTGCCACGCGCAAGATCATAGTTACTGAAATAACATGTTACAAACTACTTAACAGTTGCTTAGTCCACCACGAACATTTTCAAATTTCTGATCTATCATCCAGACACTATTTCAGAAAACCCAATGAAGATACGTAATAGGTATCACTTAACGATTAAGTATATACGACTACCTATTACGTATTATTTAGTCTTAACATAATCAACTAATTTTATATTTGATCACAGTACTGTTACTGTGAGGCCTCTCAACCTGTCGTATCTGTCTTATTTACATATTTTTTTTTTTTTCATTATACACATCAATAGTTCTTATATTATATTTTTATATACACTATAATATAGAAAATTAAAAATATATATATTTTTTTATAATAAGTTAGTATGAGTAGATATCATTTTCAAATAAATAACCCTTTTAAAATTTTAGGCTTGTAATTTATTTTGCCTATATAAACCTTTTAAGACACCGTTATAGTTTATATTATTAGTCGTAAATTATTATTCATTTTTTTAAATGAAATTCTATATAAGTTTAATAAATTTACGAAAATTATATTAAAAAATGTTTAGATGTCTCTTGCGTTGTACAACATGGGCTGTTATGAGATTTCTCTCGGAGATACAATTGGTATTGGCACACCGGGTTCCATAAGAGCAATGTTACAAGATGTTATGGAAATGATACCAGCTGAAAACTTGGCTCTCCATTGTCACGATACTTACGGCCAAGCATTGTCCAATATACTTACTGCTATGGAGGTGTGTAAACAATAGCCGTTGCGTACATATACCAAACCAATAACATTCTCTATACTCTTTTTTTATTGTTTGTTCTTTGTACCAACTGTAGAAGAGTTTTGTTTTTAGAATTTTAACTGCATTGTATTTATTATAAATATTTTACTTTTGTTTTAGATGGGAATTTCAGTATTCGACTCATCGGTCGCCGGTCTTGGGGGCTGTCCATACGCCAGAGGAGCTTCTGGTAACGTTGCCACAGAAGATCTGGTGTACATGTTACAGGGAATGGGTATTGAAACTGACGTAGATATGGAAAAGTTATTGGGTGCTGGCAGGTATATCTGCAACGAGTTGGGCAAAAGTACTGAATCAAAAGTGGCCAGAGCGTTATCGGGAAAAGAAAAACCCATGCAATTCTTGCAGTCATACAGGAACCAAAGTGCAGCACTAAAGAACTAACTATCTACGTGTACTACCTATATTCCATTCCACTGATAAGCATTCGAATACTTTTGTTTTATATAAGTCTGTGCATTTTAAATTATTTATATAAGACTGAATTTATAATTTTTGTCACTAATATGACCTAGGTAAAGTTTAACTTTTATATTTTTAACTTTAGTGCATAGTTACATAATATTATTACTATTACTGTCATTTTGAAATATAGTGACAAATACTCATCTAAACTGATTAGTTATAACTTATACGTAAAAATGTATTGGTTTTTTTTTTCCATCCATATAAGTACATTTTTGGAGTGATATTAATAAGAAGGAATTAATATTTTATATTTTTTTTATAAAATTATATATTTAATTTATTATAAAAAAAATGTTAATATTTCTCATTCAATACTTGTTATTATACGATGGAATTTTTATATTTAAAATATTTATTACAAAAATCAAGGTATAAAATTAAAGGATACTAGCTTACATAATATTTATTTTTATTAGTCATCAAATAATTGTTATGTTTATTAAAAATGCATCAATAAGTACAAATACATGTAATTATTGTTAATGTTTTTCATACCTATCCTTATAATAGTATAATAACATATGAACAGTTTAGCTGTATGGGATGTTGTGTTTATTAAATAACTACTCAGGACCACATTTATACCAGAACAAAATTGTATGGCATAAAGTTATTTTTCTTATTCAAAATTATATCTATACTGTAAGAACCAAAGCTCTCATAAATTATATAAGTTTTACAGATGAAAATACTTCCCTAATTACAGTGTCGTCATTAGCGGGCGGACAACTTAGGTAGTTGCCTAGGGCCTCGCACTTAGAATAAATTCGGGGGCCCACAATTTGTCAATTTAGAATTGTTAAATATATTTAGGTGTACGAAAATTATACTATTTTAGTCTAGGGCCTCGTAAAAGCTTGGGAGGCATCAATGGCATGGTTAAAAATTTCATCAGGGGGCAACCAGTAATGAAAACATATTTAGTGTTAGTTATAAATTTTAAATTTTTATTTATAATTAATAATTAATAATTTATTAAAAAAAATGTATTTATATTTTATTTTATATTATATTTTTTTTAAATTTTTATAAATGTCAAATTTTTTATCTTATTTTATGATCTTTATAACTCCCAAGGTAAAAACAAAAAAAAAAAAAAAAATTGAAAAATTTATGTCAATAGATAGGAAATTATAATTTGAATACTTAGAATATAATTTTAAAAAAAATATATTAAAAATAAAAATTTGAAATGTTATAAGTAGTTTAAATATTGGGTCACATATATGAATCAATTTAAAATATTGTTAAAAATTAGTGTATTTGTTAGCTATGTACAGGGAGAGAAGTAGCCCCTATCCCTCTTGGCTATAACCTTTGACAGCACTGCCTAAATAAAAACTTATGTAATTGCATTTTTCATATGCATTATACAGAAACACAAAGATAGCCTGTCAAGCTCCTACTGGGCACATTACTGGTAAAAACAATATGGGGTGAAAATTCTTAACACAGAATTTTCTTATTGACAAACGATTGTTAAGTAAATTAAAATTTGATGTACGAGTCAAGTTGAGATATATTAGTGATTCATTTTGATCGTTTTAACATTTAAACAATGTTATATAGTAAATCTCGTGTAGGAAGAACAATTTAAGTAATGTATGTTCAAACCGTCTCTACAGAAATATATATGAACATATAGTAAAATAATTTGAGAATAATTACAAGAATCACATTTAAATAATCATTTATCATGTAAGTTGTAATTATTATTTTAAAGACTCCAATCTTTATGACTTGATTTTAGGTATAATCTGTTCAACTACAAATAATTATGATTGAGATAATGTTTCAAACAAAAAAAAAAAAAAAGTATAGGTAAAAATCATTATTTTGACAGATATATTTCTTACATAATATAATAATATTTAACGTATGATTCTAAATTGATTTCATTATACTTGCATGTATCAAGACGAAAAAAAAAGTTAATGTATTAGTAAATACGGCCATTATAGATTTTATTTAAAAAACGACAGACCGGGATAGGAAAAAAAAACATGAATAAAGTTCATCGTAAGCTCTGGATGACAAATAATTTAAAATGGTTGCGATTTCGTGGTTAGAAGTAACGCTAACTTTAGCGTATGTATAGTGCGCGATCATCTTAAGCTTTCGAAGCTATATTGCGGAGTTAGAGGGTTGGAGTTATGACTGTAGAAAATATAAATTATTATGGATTTTTTTTTTTTTTTGTCACGCACTTATTTCCACAGCAATAGTACATGTGTTAAGAGGTAGTGTTTGGAATTGAGATTTAGAATTTTAATTGGAATTGGATTAGTCACCCGCCAGTGATACACTCGATAGTGGAATAAGTTTATGACCGGTCGTTACTAATAATATCATTAATATGATGGCATACCGGGAATTACAGTCAACGTCAACACTAAAACATGTGCGCGGACACGCGTTCAGATGTTTAAGACAAACCGGAAAGGGAATTGAAATCTGTAATATTATTTTACAATAAGTAAATTTGGTAACACTAAGATATAAATAACACGAAATTATGTGGGTAGGGAGAGGTCCACCGGTGTGGGGATATCTCTCAGACTTATGGGGAGGGAGAATTTAATTTGGTTAATTAACACAAGTCACAGGATTCGAGAGATCTCGACACCAGTGGCAATTAAATCGACGTGGCGGATTATCTGATATTGATTCACTGGCCAAGTTAGTTATTAGTGGAATTGTGTGATTAATTTATTGTATTAGAAATTTTTGTAGTAGTTTTTAACTGTCAAGGAACCCGACTCAATTTTAAGGTCTTTGTGTAGTGATAGATTAGAGACATACCCCATGGTCCAGATGTTATTTAACGAAGAGGGATTGTTGATCGAAAGGCCTTAATAGTACGCATTTGGAAAGGCTTGGTACATCCCTATATTTGAATGCCGTAGGCCCAGATGAGTTATAGCATTGATTTATTTCTTAATAATTTATTGTTGATTGAGATCTCAAGAGAAGTTTTACCGAAAACTATAAGCGATCGCTGCTCGTGTATTACACGAAACTATGATAATAAAGACAAATGACTAAAACGATGCATTGTACTATGTTTTAGAATAATTTTGTTTATTTTACCGCGATGTTTGTGCCTTATAATGGACCGAGTTAGTGTCGGCTTAGTGCGACCAATAGTTTACACAAAATCACAATTTCGTGTGCACATTAAGTTTGGGCTATAATGCTTTTGATAATATTGTTAATGTCGAGTTTACCATTGTGAACCATAACTGCGATTGTTTAGCTGAAAAAATAAAATGTATATTTCTTACCTACATCTCATTATAGAGCCGTAAATTCAACGACGAACGTTTTTATTTTCCTAAAACGCATACGACGGATAGATAAAAAAGTAATAGTACAACGTAACAAATAATTCGATGCCGAGAAAAGATTTTCGTTCTTTATTAATTTAAAACAAGTTGGCCTTCTCCGGCGTATAACGAATAATGGAAATTCTAAAAATAACGCGAAAGTTTTAGCTGTACGGCTATTTGTGTCTTTTTCTCATTTCATTTTAACTATAATATGTGTTTTTTTTATTTTTCTAGTTGTTTTGCAACTAATGTGTGTTATAATCGCCTCGCTAATTGTACACTTTTAACACTTTTAACGCACAGTCATATACAAATATAAAATGTACATGCTATTCACTCATATGAATGTATACGTACACTTTTACACATTTTATATTTAAGCTATAAATAAAATAAGAACTGTGTATAAATGAATGAAATAAAACTTGTTGTTTATCATTTCACACGGCGACTCGGGATTCGTATCATTTGTTTATTCATTTTGGGCGATCTTGGACGGATCTAAATTAGATACAAATGCATTCCATACCCACACGAACCTCGAAAATATAATCGTGTTATACACATCTCCGTTTTTTTTTCTTATTTCGCTTACATGATCACTTTATACAATATGCATTTAGGATACTCGTTAGCGATAATCCTGATTGAATTTCACAAGACACATTTTTACTTTCTCATTTAATCGACGTGAATTTTACAATTACCTCATTAGACCCTTTACTGTTTTTAATATATATTAATTATATACTTGCCTCACTACTAAAAGGAAAATTTCTCATGTACGCTGATGATATGACACTAGTCAATTACGAAAAAAATTGAAATAAACTGTCGAAATTGATTTACGATAAATCTATGATGGAATGGAAAATATCTGTTATCATTAATAAATCGGCTTACACGCCAATAATAATAATTCGTTAACAGCTTCCTATTGAATATAACTTCATAATACATAAATGTGAAATTGGTATGACAAATTGCAGTTGATAATCAATTCAAATAGTATTATTTTTCAAGTATTTAGGAGTGACAATAAATTTTAATCTGAAATAGTCAAAACATATATAGAATATTGAAAATAAAATGCATAGCTTAATTTTATTATTCCACATAATTAGATTTCTCAATAAATCAACTATAAGACAAATATACACGGCACTGTGTAATTCTATTACATTTTATAGCATAACATGTTAGGGAGGCTCAAATACAATAGACATTATTTCATTGTATATTACCCAAAAAATTATAATAAAAGTAGTGTGCCTGCTCCCTACCATTTGAATAGTCATCTGAGAAGTTATTTAACCATAAAAATATATTATCTGTTTATAAATTATAGATTAGCTTAACTTAAATAAAATCCAAACAAAACCATACGTTTAACGGTAAAAAAATGATAGGCAAAAGAACAGGAAAGTACTTTAAACCGACATAATATGTATATTATACCATTATTAACAAATTCAAGAAATTTCAACAACTACACGGGGAAAACAACATTAAATAATTTAAATAATGAAGTAAAGAGTCGAATAAAAAGTTGATGTGAAAGTCAATCTAATATTATCTAACATTAAAATCAAATGAAAAAAGCGATCGATAAAATAGTTACTGAACTGGATGGAAATATTTGTATTAATAAAATGAAAAAAGTTAGTATGTTTAAACAGAATATCCTATCATTATGTAACGCTAATGATAATTTTTATTATTGTATTAGGTTTAAGTCATATTTTAATTGAATAAATGTTTTATTATAAAACAATTTATATATCCATAAACTCCGTGTATCAGATTCGAGCTACAGT